CACCTCACTCTTCAAACTGACATCAACTACTTAAACATCGCTATTAGGCATCTCATATTTAAAATACCTAAATGGGAACTCTTAACTCTGCCTCCTCTCAGCTTGTTTTTTACTTTATTTCTCCATTGAATGATATCACTAATTGTTCAAGCCAAAAATCCAAGAGTTCTCCTCAGGGTTTTCCTTTTTTCTTTAATCAGATTAACAGGTCTGATTTCGTTTGCCTGGAGAGTTGATCCCAATTCTCATCTTTTCTCCGTCGTTGATGCTGTCACTTGATCTAAGCCACCCTCTTCTGCTGCACTCCTTGCTGCTTGCACAGTCCCCCACAAGTCCTTCAGGTATTCTGTACAGTGCCATCAAGTCAGAACCAACTGTTAGGTGACCCTCGAGCAGGTGTTCAGAGCTGGTAAATTGCATGGGAGGAGAATCCCCATCCTTCTCCCGAAGAGCAACTGGTGGATTTGAACTGCATGTCTTTGGGTTGGCAGTGCAATTCCTTACCACTAAGCCACCAGTGAGTATTATTTCTAAATCCCATACTACCCGTTACTCCCACCTCTAAACCCTCCAGTGCTTTCCCATAGAATCAAGTGCACAATCCTTCCTGTATCCTGCCTCTGACCCACTGCTTCTCAATTGCATCTGCCATTCCTGCTTCTTCATTCTACCCATGTTTCCTTGCTTTTCATTAAACACACCAGCCTTCTTGTCATCTGAAGATCTTTGCATTTGCTTTAGTTGTACTTTATTATTAACTTGCCCCTTGCAAGCCCCACCTCCCCCATATAGCATGTTTAACTTCGGGTTTTCCTGAAAGGCTTTCTATAACCGTCTTATCTAAAAGTCATCTTCTCGTACTTTCCCCACACTCCTTAATATCTACATTTCTTTTTTCACAGTACATCTGGCTACTGAAACCATAATGCACACTGTCTTTGCTTACTGCGTATCTTCTCTTTTCTCACCAGGAGAACTTTGATTGACCACTGTATACCCAGCACTGGCATATAATAGGAGGGAGAAAGTGGTCATTGAATTAGTGAATTGGAAGATGGCTAAAAAGCACATACCCTGAAGTTTCAGCTGTCTTGATTCAAATCCCATTTTCATCATTTGTTCATTCTATGATCAATAGAAAATTACTTCAAGCCTTTTCTTCCTTTTTAACACAGAGGTAACAAAGGTATCATCTTTATACAGTTACTGAGGAAATTGGGATAGTCCAAGTTTAACATTAAGCATAGTTTCTTGCACCCTAGTAAGCTTAAAATAAGGGTGAGTGGTGTGAGCGCGCCTTTTAGATGAGGTACTAGCCAATTCTGTGCCTTTTTAAAATATGGATAGACTTTAATTAGGACTTTTTATCAACATAAAAGGCTGCTAATTAAAAAGGTTTTTTTTAGTGTGCTTGCCATAATTATCCTAATTTTCACAGAAAACTCTTTTACTATGTGACCAGAACAGTAGTAGTGGAGTCAGAATCTCTCCATCCATTTCTTGTAGGAAAATCCAACACTTGGAAATTTTGTGGTTAACACAACCTTGTCCTAGTGGAAGCTGCAGCCACTTTTGATGGAGCAGAGCCAGTTTAAGAAATGATTCTGGTCTATAATGCTCATAGACAGTCTGGTCAAAATGCAGTTAAAGCTTCTGGGTACATTGGGTTGTGGGGAAATCTTTTTATGCCATTATTATTTCTACAAAAGCTTACTAGAACTTTGGAGAATTTGTTTTCACTGATAGTTTGACCATATTCTTGAAGGGATCCTCAGAATGAAATATAACATTCTTTTTCACGAGTCAGTCGCTTTGCTAAAATTACCTCACACAGTAGATAAGTAATCTCTGACTTAGAGTTCTGTAGACTTTGTCATGTCAATTCTGACATAAATCAAATACCTTTTTTTAAATTTTTTTATTTTATAATTTTGTGTGTGTACCGTCAAATCAGCTCTGGTTGGTACAGGAGGAGATTGCCCCTCCTTCTAGAGTAAGGCATCTGGTGGATTCAAACCACATACCTCTGAGATTGCAGTGCAGCTTCTTGCCATTAGGCCACCTGAGCTCCCCAAATACCTCTTTTTTTTTTTTTAAGTTTTCATTTTTTTTTAACCCCTACTGTATAACAGAATTTTGGACAATATATCAAAAAGTTAAACATCCGAGCATAGCTTCAGTAGATTATGCACTACAGTGGTACATATTTCAAACATTCATTTCCACTAAGTCAGAACCCACGTGTCACTGACCGTGCAAATGGGTTTCAGAGGCTGTAAATTGCATGAGAGGAGATTGCCCAGCTTCTTCCCTTGAGCAGTTTGTGGATTCAAACTGCCTACCTTTGAGTTGGCAGCATAACTGCTTTGCCACTAGCCCTCAGCGCTATAAATGGCACAGGAGAAGATTAGCCATCTTTCTCTCCCATATCTGCTTGTGAATGAAAACCACCAGATAGATGCAGCCTTCGAACTATATGGGGAGAGCCCTTTGAGATGCTATTTCCCATTCATCTCTTGCCCCATTGTTTTAACTTTTATTTATTATTAATCCTTGCCTGGTGAGGATTGCAGTATGGTGTTTCCTAGTTTTTATTCTTTTTTGCACTTATTGGCAGTGTTTTCTCTGTAAAGAGAATCGCATTTTCTCTCCATTATCACGGTGAACTCATGAGTTCTTTTTAGTTATTATATTCTGGGGTGGTTTTTTTGTGTGTGACAGTTTCTATGGCCAGTAAGAGCTTGTGTCTGTCTGAAATAGTCCCATCTCAGCATTTTGTTCCCTTATGAGCATTCCCTTGCTTTTTTGGCACAAGATGTTCCAGATATATTTTGTCTTCCTCTTGCTTCATATTCAGAATCCATTCTTTTCCCAGTGAGTCCAGGTTGCTTTTAGTCAGCAGTGATACTTGGAAAGCAGTCTTAAGGGATCTCTAGTGGCCTAGTGGTAAGAAGCTGCACTGCAATCCCAGAGGTACGCGATTTGCATCCACCAGATGCTCTGCTGGAAGAGAGGCAATCTCCTCCTGTACCAGTCAGATTTGGTGGTACACACTCATCACCATCATCATCATCATCATTATTAAAGATTAATAATTTTTTAAAATAAAAACATATATTCTCCTAAATGGTTCAGCAGTTGTTCTTACCAGCAATCCTGAGTTGTAGGCAGCTAAGATTTTTATCTTTAAATTTTTATTTTAGAGATGAAAGTGAGATTTTGAGATAATTCTCCTTTTCCAGGATTCTGAGGCTAATGAGAGTTAGGACCAAAAGCCAAGCCCTTCATATTCCATAGTGCTAGTTTAATTTTTTGTGTGTGTGTGTCACAGCACATAGACTCCTAAGAAGTGTGCTTAGGTATTTCATAAAAGCCTCTTTGACCCTTGGTCACTGTCAGCCTCAATACAGAGAGTGTTTCCTTTGTGAGAGGGAAGGACCAGAGTCAGGGAATATTTGCATCCTTCTCAGTATTGCCTTCTGGAGCACCTTTTGTGATAGAATTGGCCACTACAGAGGCTTTCAGTGGTGCTTGTTAATGCATAGGATGTTTGATTTGTGACTTGGAGAGCTCTACTTGAAAACAGAACGAGTGGTCATATTTCAACATGACAGCCTGTAATTGGGTTACTCTTAAAGAACCAAAGAAAGCAGGAAACCCAAGCAGTATATTTTAAAATGCTGTGCTTATGCTGGGATTGGGTATTTAATTATGTGAAGGGGTGTTCTTTTTCCTTACCCTTACTTGCTTTATTTCCTTTAACATTCATCAAATTGTGCATCCCTTAGAACATGTTGCTACTGCTTCTAAGAGAAAGATTAGTAAATCTGGCTTACACTTTTTTTTTTCAAAGTCAAGGTGGAAAGATGAAGAAATTATTCCCAGTCACTATCCAGATTTGTTTCTACAGTATTTTAGATGATATGTATTAAGATTTTTTCCTTATTTATAAATCATGCACATTTATATAGAAATAGAAATACAGCTAAGTAAATTGGAAACAAACTTTTAAACCATTCATTCACTCTGGACAGTGGCCTAATTTTTTTTTTTAAAGAAGATAGCTTAACTTTAGACTTCATGTCTCTTTATTTTTAAGAAAACTCTTTTAAGTTAGGGAAAAAGAACTTTTTTTTTAGTCAACTCTCAAAATGCATGTGTGACAGTGAAATTCCATTTAAGTAGATCAGTAGTTTTCAACCTTGTTTAAATTATCTCCCTATACTCAGAAATCCTTTTAGATGTTTTTAACTAATGTTTCTCTATCATAAAATTTTAATTGCACATATGTAATATGCTACATAAATATACATATATAGATTATATGTCATATGGATATTTGTGTTTTATAAAGAAAAAAAAATAAGGAGTGTTTTGGGTTTGTTGTTTTATTTTCAGACCCAAGAACCATTTTTTGCTTCCTGTGGTAATACTTAAAAAATAAGATATTTTAAAAGATAATTGGAATAGCTGTTATTTTAATTCCAGTAGTACTGTAGCTAGCACTTACATAAATGGCTAAACTCTTCTTATAGCTGCAAAAGTAGTAACTTTTCACCTGTAGGATCTTTTCTATCTAAAATCCTCATCCAGACAGATAATTAAGACTTGATGACACTGATGAACTTAATCCTTTTCAGTGCTGTTGTTCTGTCAAATACATTGATAAGTAAACTAATACTTAAGTATATTTTAAGGGACACAGGAGTTATTTTGGGGAGAGAGATGGGGCCACTTTTCACTCAAAATTCCCCTAGCTCGAAATAATAGCTCAAAATAGGCAAGTTGAAGAAGAGAAAATACAGTTAAATTTTTTTTTTCACATTTTCCCCATTTCAAGCTATCTTATGTACTTTACAGGATTTTTTGGGTTTCTGTCCTTTTATTGCTGTTTGTCATCTGTTTGTTTGCTTTACTTCTCTCAATACTCTTTTCCTCTCTCCTTTTCTTTCCTCTTATTTCCTCTCTCTCCTACATGTTATCTCCTTTTTTTCATTCAGGATTATGAGAGTAAATTGCAGGCCTTGCAGAAGCAAGTTGAAACTCGATCCCTTGCTGCAGAAACAACTGAAGAGGAAGAAGAGGAGGAAGAAGGTGATACTTAAGAGGCTAAAACTTTTCATGTATTTGACTCTTAGATTTGTCCTTTGTGATCAAACCTGGATTGCTCATAATTAGCTCTGCCATTTTCTTATGTTATTGAGCCAATCTAGAGATTATTTTTACAGTGCTCAGTGCCAAGAACACAGTCTCTGCTCTGTGAGTTGTGAACAGAGTTGAAAGCATTCTGTAGTCACAAGATCTCTGAGCCCAAAGCTTCAGCCTTACAAACATCATTATAAATACCTAGGACAGTGTCACATATTCTTAGACAAATCAAGTCTATATATCTGTTACCAATTAGTATATAACAAAAATTAATCTTTGTTAAGGTAGTTTTATTTCCTGGGTTATCATTTATATCAGAGATTGCCCGACTAGAACTTTATGGTTCTTCAGTGTACTTCGAAGCCATCTCTAACAGATTTCTAATGGCATTGCTTAGTCATGCCTGCATGCCTTACCTTTTCTGAAATTTCTTAGCTGAAGTAGATTTTTCGTTGTTAGTTAATGTCATTAGTATATTACTGAACATTCATTTTACCACCACTCAGTCATTTCGACTGCACATTAACTTTTGAAAGAACTTATAATTTGATAACTCTTTATTTTTAAATTTCTAAGTGAAATATATCCTGTTAGTCTCTTATATCCCCTTTACTAGAAAGAAAAAAGGTATTGAAGTCATGCAGCATGAAAAGAGGAAGTGAAATTACTTTCTTTCTAAATAAGCAGAATTTTTTTTTAGAATTTTTTTTCTGAGATGTGTATCTGCTTTCATAATATCAAACAAAGTCAATGAATGTGTAAAAAGAAAAGAATAAAAGCAGCTGAAAGGAGAAAAACTGGAAAATATTTCACTTGCTAAGACAGAGAAGGTGAAGGAAGGATGTCATTTCAGCGTAGTTATGAGCTCACCATTAAATGTGCTTCCTTTGCTCTTTCAGTTCCTTGGACACAGCATGAATTTGAGTTGGCCCAGTGGGCCTTCCGGAAATGGAAGTCTCACCAGTTCACTTCATTAAGGGACTTACTCTGGGGCAATGCTGTTTACCTGAAAGAGGCCAATGCCATCAGCGTGGAATTGAAAAAAAAGGTACAGGAAACGTTCGAATATGAATTGTCTAAAAGCAAAACCTTGTATGAATTTATCTTAGACTTAACTTTTCCCTTGATTAGATTTAACTATGTTGTGCTATGAAAGAGGCTTAAACAACTGATATTCTCTCAATGATTATTTTATTATCGATATTTTACATTTACAACATCTTTGAAAAAATTCCTAGATCATCCAGTGGTTCTGCCTGGGACACCTGAAGGCCGTTCTAAATTATAAGTCAAAGGTCCTGGTAACAATAGAACCTCACAAGGGGCTTTGGCCGACTAGCCATGACAAACCTCTTATTCATTCACAAGTGTCAGTCAGGCCCTGGAGGGTATTGGATGGTGGTAGGACAATTGGAGGTCAAAGGCAGACAGGAGAAAGCCAATCAAGGACTTGAAGGTGCTGGGAAATGGAAAGGAAGCTACTGGGCCAGGGAGGACAAAGGATGGGCAAAGTTCTCACCCAAGACTGGCATGAAGAGGTGGCAGAGAGTGGTCAACATTTCACTCCTACCACTATTCACCACTATTCACAGCTTCCTGAGGCCTGTATGGAAGGCATAATGAGAGAGGGAGATCTGTCATGCCATTCACAAGAGGTACCTGTTGAGTGGTAAGCAATACAGGGGGAGAGTTGGAAATTGAAAAAGATACTAAAGATGAACTGTATTCCTCAGCCCTCTAATAATACTGCTTTCACACAACTACTTGACTTTTAGTTCCTGTGTTGATGAGTGAGAAGTTGGTGGATATGTTCCTGGAATATGTCATTATGTTCTGTTGAATTGATTCTGACTCAGCGACCCCACATGAATAACAGAGTAGAGTTGATCCCATAAAGTTTTCAAGGTTGTCATCTTCAGGCAACTAGATGGCCAGTCTTTGTCCTGTGGATACATTCATGTGAGCAGCATTTTGATTAATAGCCAGATGCTTAACTATTGAGCATCAGGGCTCCTTGCCTGAAATAAAAACAAACGAGCAAAAAATGTACCACCTTTAAAGTCAATTCCACTTCATAACAACTTCACCAGACTGAGGAGAACTGCCCTGTAGGATTTCCTTTGGGAGGAGACTGCCTTTCTTTTTCTCTTGGAGTGACTGATAGTTCAGACCACCTTTCAGGTAGCAGTCCAACGTGAAACACAGTGCCACCGGGGACAACGTAGCAGGTACTGATCTATATTAGATGAAATGAAAAAGAACAGATGTTATCTAATCTCTTTAAATGGGGAGACTATGATTGACAAATGACAGAAAATGAGCTTGGTTTGTGTTTCTAAAATTTTTTACTATCTTGAAAATATTCTGCTTTAAGTTTGTATCTCTCAAGGCCTAGAGTCTGAGAGGAAATGTCAGGAAGCAGATAATCACAGACAGGTGTACCCAAACTGACCCAACCCTAGCTTTAGTAGATGTATTGACTCCAAAACCAGTTTCCTCATCTACAGAATGAGGTAGTTGCAATACCTACTGACCTGGAATTTGATAAGCAATAAAGAGTTGGTTCATATCAAACACTTAATACAGTCTTTGTTGTTATTGGGTGCTGTAGAGTTGATTCTGACTCATAATGACCACATAGGACAGAATGGAACTGCCCCATAGTCTGTTCTAGGCTATTATAATTTTTCTTTTTCTTTTACAGCCTTGTAAACCCAAAGCTTTGAAAAATTGGTTAGGAACTCATGATTGTTCCTCTCCATGGATATCTTTAGTGTAAGATGGAAGATTTATATGATCTAAAGAGAGACCAGAGCATAGGCTGTACTCTTTATGGGAGCCTCTGACTAGGTCTTTTCATAGAGCTGCTGGTGGATTTGAACCGCAAGCCTTTTGGTTAGCAGCTGAAAACTGAACTACTGTGCCACCAGGCATCCTTAAAATAGTGCCTACACATGGTAAAAGGCATATTACCTGGTTTTGTAATTATTACAAGAATTTCACACAGATTCTTAGAGTTACTCTTCTGGAGTAATCTCTTGAACCACTAACATTATTTTGGTGGTAGTGTTTTTACTGTTGTTATATGCTGTCAAGTTGGAACAAACCCATAGCTCACCCTTCAGGGGATTTACAGAGGTTTTAAATTATACAAGAGGAAGGTGCTATCTTTATTCTTCAGAGCAGCTGATTGGTTTGAACTATTTGCCTTTGGGTTAGCAGTACAGCTCCTTACCACTAGTCCACTAGCTTATAGAAGGAGGCAATATTTAGTAGGTAAATCTCACTGTCGTTGAATCTTTTCCTAAACATTCTGATCCTCCACTGGATTTCTGAGGCTTTAAATTATAATAGGAAGAGACTACCCATCTTTTTTCCAGTGGAGGCATTGGTGGATTTGAACTATTAGAGATGTGCAACCTTTGGTTTAGCAGTGCACCTCACTACGGACTCTTGGTGCTAAGTGCCATCGAGTCATAGGCTACTCATAGCGACCCTATGAACAGGAGACCTAAACACTTGTATGACTTTCCTCATTTCTCTGAGCTCATAGGGTTTCTGGAGGCAAGCGATATTGGAAGTGGATGCCACTCCTGCTTCCAAGCTTGTTTTCATCAGAGATCTCTACCAAACACTGTCCACCATAAGTGAGCAATATCGCATTTGGGAAGTTAATTATCTTTGCAGGGTTCTTGTGAAGAGAGTGACAGGAAACATAAGGATGGCTAAGCGAGACCTCTCCTAACTCCATCAAGAGAACTGTCCCTCTCAAGAACATGTGAAAAAAAAAAAAAGAACATGTGGTGGTGTTATCATGTGCCATCCAGTTGCGCAACCCTGTGTACAATAGCCCTAAAACCTGCTCTATTCTGTGCCGATCTTAATGTCTGACACACCTACCGCCATTTCCCCAGTCAATGAATCAGTCCATCTCATCGAGCATCTTCCTCTCTTGCACTGTCTCCTCCCTCCCAAACATGACGTCTCTCTCATGTATCAAGAACATAAAAGATATAAAATTAATTCCCATGAGGTCAGACATTCCCCCATCTTTCTGCACGCACTTCTGCTAATTCCAGTACCAGTATTACTCCCTATTGGGTCCAGAATCCATTGTAATACCTTCACAGAACCATACTCACTGTTATGGGGTTTATTAGGGAGATGAACAGGTTACCAAATGGACACAGTTTCTCAGTCAGAATAACTTCTGAATTGTGCTGCCAGGGTCTTCCTTCAGCATTCAACCTTTCAGCTTTAGGCTGGTGTTACAAAGCTCTCTTAGTCCTGCCAGTTAAGGAGTCGGCCCCCTTCTCCAGTCTTCCACTAAGCCTGGTTGAAGGCCTCTGACTCTGGCTTCATTGGTCAGGAGTCCCAGGTCAACTCTGTCTCAGTGCCACTCTCATATAGTTCTGACTGGTGCAGGAATCTCTTACCCCAAGGACATGAAGTGTGTTCTCTTCATCTTCTTCCTTGCTGGTAGAATTTCTCCTGCTGACCCTGTTCATTGTAAACCTGGTGGAATGGGGAAACATGTCCATAGACTAACACAGCCTATTTGTATGTTTCCTTACAGCCATGGGTCCAAGTCAAGGGCAATGGCCTACAAAAGTGATTCTAAATAGTAAGCCCAGTACCCTACAGTTCTATACTCTAGTTTCTGTAAAATGAGGACAGGATGTCTTCTTTATTGATAGCTTTTCCACTCACTATAAGTAGACTGCCCCTTAGTTGTTGCTATTTGTCATTGAGTTGACTCTGACTGATACTGACCCTACAGATGAAAAGTAGAATTGCTCTATAGAATTTTCAAGGCACTAACCTTTCTGACTGCCACATGGTACGGAACTGCCCTGCTAACCTAAAGGCACACTGTTTGAGACCACCAGTTACTCTAAGGGAGGAACATGAACAGTCTCCTCCTGTGCTATTTACAACCCTTGAAAACCCATCAGAGGGTCAACTATGGGTTGGTTCTAACTCAACAACACATAACAACAAAAACAACTTTCTGATGAACAGAAGATTTCAGAGAGCAACTCAAAAACATGTAACAAAATTTGCAAAGATCAGGAGTTAAAAAGAGAAGAGCCCACAGCATTTTCTCAAGCTGAAAGAACTGAAGAACAAATTCAAGCCTCTAGTTGCAACACTAAAAGATTCTATGGGCAAAATTTTGAATGATGCAAAAACATCAAAAGAAGATAGAAGAAGCCTTTCTATGAAGATGGTGCTGAAAGTGAAGAAGGAAGTTCCTGCCCCTCCCAAAACTGAAGCCAAAGCGAAGACATTAAAGGCCTAGAAGGAAGTCCTGTAGGGCATCCACAGCCGCAAAAAAAAAGAAGATCACCATGTCACCCACCTTCCGGTGGTCTAAGACACTGAAACTCCAAAGGCCACCCAAGTATCCCCAGAAAAGTGCCCCTAGGAGAAACAAACTTGACCACTATGCTATCAGCAAGATTCCCCTGACACCTGAGTCAGCCGTAAAGAAGATAGAAGATAACAACACACTTGTGTTCATTGTGGATGTCAAGAAGGCCAATAAGCACCAAATCAAACAAGCTGTAAAGAAGCTCTATGACATTAATGTGGCCAAAGTCAACACCTTGATTAGGCCTCATGGAGAGAAGAAGGCCTAAGTTCAACTTGCTATGGATGTTGCCAACAAAATTGAGATCAAATAAACTGAGTCCATCTGGCTAATTCTAAATAAGAATTTTCTCACCAAAAAAAGAGAAGGTAGAAGGAATAGACAGAGTCACTGTACCAAAGAGAATTGGTCAACACTGAACCATTTCAGGAAGTAGAGTATGTTCAAGAACCAGTGGTATTAAAAGATAAAGTTCAAACTATACTAAATGTATTGGCAAAAAATAAAGCCCTTAGAATTGATGAAATACCAATTGAAGTGTTTGAACAAGTGGATGCAGCTCTGGACATGCTCACTAGGCTATGCTCAGAAATTTGGAAGACAACTACCTCACAAGCTGATGGGAAGAGATCCATATTTCTTCCTGTTAAAAAAAAAATCCAATAGAAAGTATAAAATATTGAGCAATATCATATACAAGTCAGATCTTACTGAAGATTGTTCTAGAACAGCTGGAACATTATTACATCAGCAGGTTACTTCCAGAAATTTAAGCTGGATTCAAGAGGCCATGGTATAAGGGAGCTCATTGCTGATCTGAGATGAATCCTGGCTGAAAGCAGAAAATAACAAAGATGTTCACTGATATTTTGTTGACTTTGCAAAGACAGTTGACTGTTACAGGATGAAAAATCATGGCTAACGTTGGGAATCCCAGAATACTTAATTGTGTTCATAAAAAACCTTTACCTAGGCCAAGAAGCACTTCTCGCAACAGAACAAGGAAACATTGCGTAGTTTAAAATCAGTAAAATTGTGCATCAGAGTGTATCCTTTCTCCGTTTCTATTCAGTCTTTGTGTTAAATGAATAATTTGAGAAGCGAGATAACATAAAAAAATAATATGAAGTCAGGATTGAAAAAAGACTCGGCAGCAGCCTGTGTTATGCAGATGACACAACTTACAGAAAGTGAAGACTTGCAGCAATTGCTGAAGAAGATCACCTACAGCTTTCAATATGGATTATAATTCAACTTCAAGAAAACAAAAATCCTCATCACTAGGCCAGTAGGCAAAGGCAGCACCATCATCGTTGTTGTTGTTGTTATGCGCCATCGAGTCGCTTGCGACTCATAGCGAATCTATGTACAGCAGCCCTGTACTCTGCTCTGTCCTGTGCCATTCACACTGTCTCTGACACTCCCATCCCGATTATCCCAGTCATTGAATCAATCCACCTCATAGAGGGCCTTCC